GTCTGTGTGCATTGTTGAATAGAACAGTTGTACCAACCTGATGTGTGATTACCCCTTATATTGCTTTGGGACAGGCCAAAGTATGGGGGTACCACACCTCAGGATAAGGGAATGCTGTTCTTAGAATGTCATGCTGGAGCAAAGTGGAGAGGTGTAGGATTGGTGTAACATAAATTGTTCTTAAACGCCACAAAGTATTTAGTGTTGGCACAACATTTCTCTGCCTGCTGCAGTTCTCTCTGTGCTCATCTTAGCTCAGCTATTTGACCTGGTCTTTAATCTTCACTTCTGTGGTAACTGTGGTGAATATAAGAGCTTTTCTGTCAGAACCAGCATGTTTTTTTAAGGAATTACTGTTGAACAGCGTTCCTGCAAATGTTTAACTATCTCACCTAAATTTGGGCATTTTGCTGAAATGATAACTTTTAATGAGAACTGTAGAGAATTAATTTAATAGTAGCATACCGTTTCAGATTTTTGCATAATGACTTTTCAAGATCAGTTGCTAGTTCTGAATTTAAACAAACAACAAGGCTCCAAGTTTGCTTTTCCTTATGTTTCATTTTATTTCATTTTAGTTTTATTAAATTATATTGGGTGTTTTTATATAGCACTAATAAATATGAAAAAAAAGTTGCTGTTCAATTTGAATCCAAGTATGTGGAAACATATATAGCAAAACAAGTCAAGCTATGAGGTGATGTGAGTGTTAAAGCAGGAGTAAGGAAAAAAAAGAAAGTCTCCTGTGAGTTTGTGGAGCAGGCAGTTGGCAGCAGCAGAAGGTGCCGGCAAAGGAATGCTGCTGAGAGGGTGAGTTCTGGTGTGATCCTGCATCAGCCTCCTCAAGGCGTGTTCAAAGAGGGCTCTGAGGGCACTGCACTGAAATGGCAAGCTGGTCTGCTTGAGCTGGTGTGTGGTTGCAATAATGTTGTTTTCATTGGAGACAGAAAGCTTTTACAGTTTAGCTTGGGTTCTGTCAGTTTTGTTGTTTTGTTTTTGTTTTTTTCCTTTGGAAAGGGCTAAAGAGAGAAAAGGAGCATACATTTATTGCTGTGTTTTAATCATAAGTCTGACAACATGCTCATTTAATAAAAATATTGAGGGAAAACTTCACCTGTTAGCATAAGCAAAGTTATAAACTAGATTCTGCAACTTCACCTCAACCCTTCATACTTTGTTTTCCCTAATTGCAGCCAGCGGCACCAAACTCTTTCTCAGCATGTTTAGTTTTTTCTTGGATCTCCTTCGTTGTAGTTTTTAACTCTGTTATGGTTTGTTAGTACTCTTTTTTCATCCTTCTCAGGTACTGAGGCACCTTTAATATTAATTTTCTTAGTAATTGTTGCCAGGTGGATGAAGGGCAAGGACTATGTCTGACCTTAGTTCAGTTTGCTTTACTATTAAAACGCCTTCTTCCCAAAACGCATTTGCTTCTTGGGTGTGAATTGTTGTTACGTTGTTGTTTGTCAGACTGTGCAAGGCAAGAGCCTTCCAGAACACCTGAAAGAAGATGAGTAGGTTTGAATGATGGTGGCAGGCGTAGGCAGGCAAGGAGAACATTTTGTGCTTCTTTTGCTGTATTATTTCTCATGGGTTCTCCCTGTTCTTCTGAGCACTCATATGCCATTAAACCCTGTGTTTCCATGGGAGAACATTCTAGCTTTGGCACCTCTTTTGTCTGTTGTGTCTCCAAACATTCAAGTCAGTTTTTGCTGATGTACAGATTTTTATTTTTTTTTTTTCCTTTTGGTAATTATAAAGCGAATATATCACCTGAAGTTAATGTTTGATTCTGCAACCAGAGCACACAGAACTAAGTTAAAGCCAGCTTTTAGATCAGCTTTGCAGCCATGAGCTGACTTTAATGGGGTCACTATGAGCAAATGAGGACTATGATAGCAGCATTCTACATGGCCTTTTTGCGCAAGGGGACTGCACGCCTTGTTGGGATCAGTCCCAGCCTGGGGAGGCTGCAGAATTGCAAATGTTAGAGTACCTACAAACTTTTGACTGTGTTGTTCTTTTTAAAATATCTACTCTTGTTTACACTGATGCCTTGTGTTCCTCGACTTGTGAGAGATTAGCATAACTTGTTGGCCCTGCTTAGTCTGTTTTTACTTCACAAAGCCAAATATGCATCTTAGTGAAGTTACAGCAGGTTAGATGAGTGCTGGTCCTGGTTTGTATCGCCTGGGATTTTTACCTTGCAATGCAGTAATGAATGTGCTGAGGAGAAACAGAAAATACTCTCCATCCCTTTCCCCCTCCTTGCATGACTGCACCCATCCACCACTGATGCTTTGTGAATGGGAAATTATAGCTACTAAATTTGACATTGTAGACATAACTTAGGGTTGTGACTGTGGAAATGTCTACTTCTTCTTGTGTGTTTAAGTTTCGGTAAATATTTTGCAATTTGGGAAAATTTAGGAAAGTCCCGAAATGTAAATAGGCAATTTGCAATTGCAAGCAACTGTTTGGAGAATTTTGTTAATGCTTTGCATTTAAAAGAAGTTAGGTGCTGCAAGTCTGTGTGTTTTCTTTAATTATAAAACTCTGTTTAGATTGTTTAATAATCATTCTTAGGTAACTGAAATAGGCTAGTCTGCTTTAGGTAACCTAACCATGTAAAAGGTTTAAAACTGTGCTAGAAAAATACCAAGGTAAAGACCAATGCAAACATAACTGCATTAGGACAGCTTGCCTATGAACATTTTAATTTTAATTATTTTTCTCATGATTATCTCCTAAGATTTCACCAGAGTGGGTGGATCAGGTTTTCTGCTCCTTCTTTCCATTCTCCTGTTCTGAAAATTTTAGCAGGGAATATGATAAACTTCAATCTCAGTAGTTAGTGAAGTGGCTAATTTTTCTGAAAACTGGGTAGATGTGACTAAGGCTGTGATTCTGTCCCCAGTTGGCTCTGGCACTTCCTAGACTCTCTGCTAGCTGGTTTGGTATGCCAAGCCATCAGAAATCTAACCTGACCAAAATCACAGTTTAATCATACCAGCTAGATTGGATGGGGCCATCCTATAACCAAAGCTTGAGCTTGCAGAAGGACAGGTACACAACTGTATGCAAAAAACTGTATACATCTCTGTCAAGCAGTTCAATAAATTCACTTTTTGAAAAGTACCTTTGTGAAATCTAGGGTTTAGTTTCAAGTTAAGTTGTAAGTTATTTCCTTTCTTTAATGTCTTATGGCAGAGCGCTCACAAATTTAGGCTGAGTTGATGTAATCCATATATGCTAATTGGAATGGCTATATTGGGTCACACTTCAAGTATCAGTTTGTCCAGTATCTTGTTTCTGACAGTAAATAGTAAATTGATAGCCAGTAGTAAATATGTAGGGAAGGGAACAATAAGAAGGAACATTTAATGATCATTCCTTAAGACCCTTCTAAGTATCTGCACCTTAGAGACTTTTAGAGCCAGATACAACAGCTTTGAGTTTAAAAGTTCTTCATGGAGCTTGCATTTGTCCAATTACTTTCTGAATCTTTAAAATTTTGGAACTCACTCCCACAAGACATTGCAGATCACAAAGTTTAGCTACAGACTATGTGCAAAAATGAATTTTTGTGTGTTTGAACCCTCCTTTAATCATGTCAATTGCTGTTTCCTAATCGTTGCATTTTGAAAATAATTGTGCTTTATTTATCTTCTCTTTGTCACCTGTAATTTTGTACCCATATTTTCTGCTATGTGTGCTCTCTTTTTTCAGGCTGAGCCATCTAAGAAGCGTATTTCTGCTTTTACTCTGTCTTTTTTTGGCAGAGTAAAAGCAGAGGCCTGATGGCATACATTACTACATCTGTGGATGTACTGCACTATGGATTCATACAATAGAATTGTATTTTTGGTTTGGCACTTTTAAGTCTTTCCAAACAGTTATGTTTCATTTGCTTTAAGATAGCTGTCCAGCTAGAGTTACCATTGGACTGCATGACTGTGTGACTGATCTTTCCTAACAGATAGAGCTCCTTTGCTAAGAGTGTTATTTTTGCATTTGCTGGTGTTGAATTTCTGGTAATCTTTTGCTCAATCCCCTCACAAGTAAGAGGGTTCTGCAACTGGTATAGTCATGCCTAGGACCTGGGATGAAATTGGGACTACATTACATGTGATATTATGTAAAAAATGCAGAGTGCTTTGGTTTGCCAAGATGATTTTAATCCAGGGGCAACACAGGGGACAGCTGATGAATACAAAGAATTGCAGCAAAAAATTTATAAGCAAAGCTGCAGTGGTCTCAAAGAAGTTTGCATAGACATTCTGAAAGACTGATAAGGAAGGCTAATAATAAAGTATTATTCTGAGAAATTAGCACTTTTATTGAGTTTAATAAACAGCATCAAAGGAAACATCAACTGCTTGTTCGGCAGTTTTACAAACAGTGAACAGAGACTGCCAGCTGTTAGTGTGATGGGAACAGCAATTAGCTTTTAGTATTAAATATGAGAGGATAGCTAGTGTGAGAATAATCCAGGAGGTGGGGAAGTAAAAGCAAGCAATTTATGATTGATGTCATGGAGCAAGAATCATGAGGGAAGCAGAGAAAGAGGGTGATGTGTTAGCCATACAGGTCAGCATTTGTGTATGTTCAGTAGGATAAGCAAGAGGGAGTTAAATAGAGTGATTTGTACGTGTTCTTCTGTTTGTCCACTGTGGTTTGAGTTGGGTTGGGTTGGTATGCACTGAGGATAATGGGAGCTTCACATCTGTCATTTCCACACTGAATTGGGTATGCAGTGAGTGGAGAATGAATGGAGTCCCAGTGTGACAGGCTACACTGCAGAAACGAATGTTGGGTTTTCTTTCAAGGCTTTGGAATGCCAGGGCAACTCAGACACCAGTCATCTAAAACATCATGAAGACCTTGCTTGACATAATAGTCACAAAATAATTATAAACAAAAGCATGTATTTTTGTTAATTTACTAACTGGCGTCTTAAAAACAAGAAAAAAACCTGACATTTTTATGTACCCTTCTAGTTCTAGGTCCAATGATTAGTTCTGTGACAAGACAGCATGACACTTTGAGTATGACAGAAGTCCTGATGCTGCAGCAGAGGCTGGGAGTATTAATGGCCAAATCTAGGTGAGTGATTTTTAATTCTGCCAGCTCCCTACCTGTTCAATTTCTTCCTCTTAACCTAGGTTCACATCTCCTTTTGAAGCAGCATTTCAGTTCTTGGTTTTCTGAAATATCAATCTTAGAACATACATGAGACAAAATAAAAAGCTTGTATGATTCTTGATTACATACAGTTTCTTTGTTGTTCCTGTTGTACAGAGTCTGTCCTTCAAATACCTTCATATACTACAGCTTTCTTCTTGCAACTCCAGTGATTTTTTTTTTTTTTCTCCAAAGTGCTTTGCATTATAAATTCTGGGTTTTTTAATAAGTTTTATTAAAGAAGCAGGCAGTGTCTTCAACAGACTTGATCAGTTATTTCATGCTGAATGCATAGAAAGTCTGATACTAACAGCATGCAACTAAGTAGTTCTGTTTGCACTGCAAAACGTAAGTCTGGGCCTTAAGTGCATGCATTTGTGCCTGAAGGCTGCTAGAGGCATATGCAACTGTGTTGTATGGACCAGAGCATTCACTGTTAATCTGCATTGAGGCTGTTGTCACCTGTTGCTCTTTCACAGCAGGGGATTCTCAGGCTAAATAGCACAGTGGCAGTAGCCTGACCAGAACAACATCTGAACATTACTGTGGTGATGCACTGAGGGGTGCCAGAGCAGGAAACCAGGAACAGGTGTTATTACCTGTATCTCCCTTTCCAAATAGAAGAGGAACAACTACTAGTACTATGACTACTGCTACTATAAAAATTTCAAAACTTTACAATGAAAAAAAAAATAAATTGTGTGTAGCATAGATTCTCTCTGCAGCAGTAGAAGCAAACAAATAACCCCCAGTTTTGTTTTGAGTTGGGGAAAAAACCTTTGTCAATATAATGCATGTTTTTATGTTATGGTCAGAAATGGCATTAAAGAATCTATGATTTTGGTTAGGTGTCTGGTGTTTTGCCTCTATGACTGGATTAATTGGAGCAGTGTTGTTACCTCTGCAGGGGATTCTTGGTGGCTGATTGATACAATCTCTAGAGTAGGAGTATATCTTTTGAGTGGCTTTTCTTATCAAGAAAAGTGGAAGAGTTAGCTGCTTTTCATTGTATTCTTTGCACCTTATCCCTTAGCAGACTGAAGTGCTACATGGATACTACTGCTGCATGCTGATACAAATGCCTATCTAGAAACCAAGTAATGGTTTTCTTGAGATGACATGGGATTTTTTACCCTCTAGTAAGGAAAACTTATCAAGCCATTCAATCTCCTTTCTTCTTGATTTCTAATGTTGTATCTCTTGTTGACTTAATAGCTCTCTTCCAGGATTTTGCCCCATTTTTCATTTGTGTACTGGAAATTTTACTTCTTATCTAGTATAAATATGATGTAAATAGGTTAAGTTTTCTTTTGTCAGACTTTCTTGTATTTAAGAAATATGAGACTTAACCCCTTTTTCATGGTGATAGAGGGTCAAACAGCAAGTTGCTCGACTTCATTCTGTTAACATTTTATCATACTGCTTTGTGAAAGTTCTTCCATACACACAGAAATCTTTAAATGAAAATACCAAAAATATCAAGGTGTTTATTTTTTGTTTCATTACTTTAGCCATGCTGTTCAGTGTTACTTGAGTATTTAACGATTTTAAAACAAATGTGTAACACAATTTAATCCAAATGGAACTTAATAGAAATAAAAAAATACCCAAGTTTTAAAATATTTGTGTTGAATGTGGGTTTTTTCCCTTCCCTTATCTCTGATTACATAGTTTGATATACACTGCAATATGGGAAGTATACAGAATTGAAAGCACAGAGCCTCACTGCGTGGCTGCCAGCACAGGGCTGCCTGCAGTCCTGGAACGCCTCCACCCTGGAGCTGCCAAAGCCAGGGCAGCCTTTCAGGATTGCCATATGGGCTCTTTGTGTTGCCTGTGCCTGGTAACCTGCTACAGCCCAGGGCTTCTAGGGGCATCTCTAGCGCGGTGCTCCGGAGTCAGGGAGTGCTCATTTAGATGGAACTGGAATCCAGATAGCAGCCTTGTGTAAAAGCCTGGTTTAGGAGGTGAAAATCTCACGCTATAAGTGGTTGGGTTTTGTTTTCCCCCAAGCTGCTACCATGGGAATTAAGGTGACAAATCAAATGAGTCTGTTTGGTAATAACCTCAAATTCAGTTATTGTTCAGTTATTATCAGACTTTTCCAGCTCAGTGTTGCCACTTCATACTATCAAATCTAAATTAACTATCATATTTGTAGTATCTACGTTGATTTTTTTATTACATGTGACTGGAAGATTCATCATGGAGAATTGTATGTCAGAGTAATTTGCTTTGAGTTGTTTGTTGATGTTACTTCATTTTTACTTCGACTAAATGATCATTTTGTTGGTTGCGTTTTTTTTCCCCTTTAGAGATCAGATGGTCTTCTAAAGAAGTCATGGGTAGCTGTTGTAGCTGTCCAGATAAAGAAACTGTCCCAGATAACCAACGAAACAAGTTTAAGGTATGCAGCTGGTGTGATGTGCTGTGAACTATTTTGGTTTTTTTTCTTACAGATTAGGTCTGTGATTAAAAAAATAAGTAATGAAAATGGAATGTAAATTTCTACACAGCTGAAACATTGCAGAGTTGCAGGTGCCTGTAGCTACAGTTTTCTCTTGCACCTTTGAGAAACACTCTCTTATCAGCGGTGACAGGAATTCTGTAGACAGGGTAGGCATTTTAGGAGAGTTTTGATCTTTAGGAAAGGGAAGAAGTCTTGTGATTTTCATCCACCTCCATTTCAGTTGGTAGAGCCCAAGTAAATATTGTTGCCTATGGAAGGTTACGTTAGGAAAGGAGTCCTTAGCATAAAGGAATAAATAGCTTTTGGGGAAGTGTGATTATGAACCTGAATGTGGGGTCATGAATAGAAAATTTCAAGACTGCTGATTTTACTTGAAGATCGCTATTGATTATGCATTTTGAAAAGTTTTGTCCTTTATGTGGAGAAATCTTATTTCTAAGTGCCCTTATGTCTCATATATCTCTGGAATTTATAAGCTTGCGAACACTTGTTCATGTGCTTGACGTGCTAAGCATGAAGCAGCTGAATTCAGTGACTGTAAGTCAACATACCTTTGCATAGGTCACATAAGTCAGATTTGCTTCTGTGCTCCAAACTGTCCCTGTGAGTTGACAAAGGAATGTAATGCTTCCATAATGAAAATTGATTCACGTGCTGCCTGAGGGCAACAATGAAGTGAGCTTTAAAGCCATGGGAATTTATTGAAATGTTTAATATTATCAGTTAAGAAATCTGAAGAATAAAATATTTTTCTGTTTTCCTGCTCTTTATGCATCACTTTGTGTAACTAGTTCCTATTTTTCTCCTTGTAGATTTCTCTATTGTTTGTTTAGCAGCAGGGCTGGGGAGGTGGGGGAGGGAGAGATGAATGAATGTAATCTACAAAATGAGGAAAATGGGCATAAGCCTCACAGGCAGATGAAGCAATTCTTAATTATTTTCCATTGACTAGATTTCAAGTTGAAAATGTATTTCTAGGGAGTAATTTTAGGGAGTAACATTAATTCTGTGGGGAAATTTTTTTGGTAGCTTTTTTATTGATGAAGAAAGAACTGCACTAAAAGCAGCATTGTAAGGTAAAATAGAGGGGAAATATATACCGTCCAAATTCTATAAAGGATGACCTCAAAACTAGCTTAAAAGCAGAAAGGACAAGAGTTTAGCTTTATATGCATCTTTTCACACAAGATAACTATAAGGTATCTGAATTATTTGTTGACTTTTAAAAGGCAGCAAAATATCTAAAACTGTTGGGTGATTCAGCACAGTGCAGGGCTATATATGTATGCGAAGGAGCCAATCTTCACATCTTGGAGCCACTTACCCTTTTTCATTCCTTTTCCCAACTGTAAGTGGGGTTATATGACAAAGCAAATATTTTTTTTTTTTTAGAAATGGGGCTCTGAAAGATTCCATTATCTGAGGTATGCCATATCCATGTGGGAATACTAGAATATGTACATAAAGCCAGTTTAAAAAAAAATATTTAACTTCCAAATCTCTTCTGCTTTAAATTTCTCATCAGATTTTACAGTAATGTTAGGCAGCCTCATTTGTATTGTTTCTAAATAAGTATTATATGATTTTTTAAAATTCTGGGTTAGGGTAGCACAGAAACTAGTTTGCTGAGTTATTTTTTTGGTTTTTTAAATGTTCACTTCAAGGATTGTAACTAATACAGAAGGAGTTTACCAGTCAGGCATTAAGATTATTAAAAGTGGTGTTGTTTCTCAAAAGAGTAATTACCTAACGCTTTTAATTTCTTTTTTATAGGTTATTAATGTGGATGATGATGGTAATGAACTGGGTTCTGGCATAATGGAACTTACAGATACAGAATTAATTTTGTACACCCGTAAAAGGGACTCTGTAAAATGGCACTACCTCTGTCTCCGTCGCTATGGCTATGACTCAAATCTTTTCTCTTTTGAAAGCGGTCGAAGGTGTCAAACTGGACAAGGTATGTGGAAGTGTTGCATATAAACATTTTTGGAAGTTTATTTGATGTTGGAAGATATTTGCCAGTCCTTTGGCAAGAGTTATGAAGGCTATAGTGCTGTAAGTGAATGTGGTGTCTGGAAAAAAATTACTTTATGAGGAATGGTCTTCTGGAAGAATGAGGATTTGAGTTGCATATAGGTTTTGGCATTTATAGGTCTGGAGGACTTCAAGCTTCTATGTGAGTATTCTTTTGGTCATCTAAGGAGGTGGTTTTGACAAAGAAATTGTCCTGCCTCAGAAGCTGACTTGACTTCCAGGGGGAGGCAGTAGAATCTGAAACTGTGGAGGAATCTCCTTAGAATTCAAACAATTCTCTGTTTTTAAGATTTTAAAAGCCTGGAGCACTGATATGAACAGGTTGTCCCCACCTTATTATTGTCTTGAGTAACACACCTGTGTTTCATTCTCTTCCTAAAGCAAATATCACTTTCAATAATATCAATGACATAATTCTCAAATTTTGACATTTTTGTATGAGGTGTATATACTTCAGCTATGCTCAGTTATTTTTTGAGTGGCTTTCATCGGAAAGATGGTTACTTTTCCAGTACCCCAGACCATGCCTGCCTGGGCCAAGGTTGGCTTCCTCTGAGAACATTCAGGTGTTTCTCTCTTCCCTGCAGCAGTCCCCAAGGAAACAGCTGTTTCTGTTGAGCTCTCAGCCTCAATTTGCATCCTCCTACTGTGAAACAGCTGTGTGCGGTTGGAAATCATATGCATTCATATTTTGAAATTAAGTTCCAGCATTCTTTAGGATTTTTTGTCATTTACCAGTGCTATTATCAATAATTTTATTCATTGAGAAATTGCAGGTTTTGTTTTTTAATTTCACTGTTAAAAAGTAAGAACTGGATCATAAGTAAACCTAGTCAATATTCATTGTCCAAGCAGAGGTAAAGGAAGACAAGTTTTTTTTTAATGGGAGTCTAAAAGGCACACTCAGCTCATCTCCTAATGAGAAATGGAGATATTTTCAAACATTGAAGTATACTCCATACTAAACTAAATTTTCATAATTCTTAAAGTAATAAACTTTTTTTTTAAAGTTTTGAAGATAATCACTTTAATGGGTTTTGCAGATTTAATTTACTGCTTCTGAACATTGAAAACAGATTATTACTTAATATTACTTAATTCAAAATACTAATTCGAAGGTAGTTCTCTACAGTCTATTAGCAAGTCTGCAAAATCTTACACCAAGTCTAATTAACATCTCTGCTTTCCTTCTAATTTTTCTTTTTTGTTTTTTACAAACAAGATTAAGCAGGCTGTGTAAGCAGCAGCCCTTTCCTCCCTCTTTTGCTTCTTGCCTTCCTTATGCAATATTAAAATACTGTAAATATTGAGGTCAAAGAAATCTGTCAGAAAATGTTCTCTACTGCCCTTTTGCAATGGAACATTGTTCCTGTGACCTACAGTGGGTTTTGTGGGCACAGTTGCAAAACTTCATCTTTACTTCATGGGATGACCAAGAAGTTTTTCATTTGAGAATTCCCTGAGTACTGCCTAGAAACTTCTTACATTAGTCAGTATTTTTCTTTCTGTTTTTCCTTTAATATCAAGTTATTTCTGTTGATAAGTTGCGAGAAGCAATGATGGTGAAGCACTGAGTTTGTACTAGGAATTAAAAACCTTGCAGACATGTCTTAGGGGCACATCTAACAGATAATTCAGGATATAAATTGGAAAAGTTGGTATGTCACCATGTTGTGTGACAGATCACATTGTATTTAATATGAATATATTTAAAGGCAGCTGAATTTCTCAGAAACATGCTGAGAGTTTTTTAAAATTTTTTTTGTCCATTAAGATTTAAATATCCAGCCTAAGTATTCAGAAATATACAAAATATTAAACATGGCTGGATTAAGGGCCAGGGACATGTAATAGTAGAATCTCTATAGCTGTAGTGTTGCTAGTTGTAGTGTATAGTTGTAGTGTTCTGAGCAGCAGCTACTTATTAGTAGCTAAGCATTGTTCCTCATAGCCCATTTGGGGTATTCCCAGCTGGGGTAGTGTGAACTTCTGCCATGTGAAGCATTTCTGGTGGTTCTGATCTATCACAGCTCTGCATCCCTAAATGAATATATGATGATAGTAATTGCCAGTGTATTCACATAACTGCACTTACAGAGTGGTTATATAGGTAGGTAGTTTTCAGTAAAGAGTGTTTTAAGATTGTAGTACTCAGTTTAAAAATTGAGCACCTTCACCCACGTTTAACAAGCGTGTCAACTTTAACTTCATGCTTTCAATGGAAGAATAATCCAAAGCTGCGACTTTGCTGGTGAGGGTAAGTTGGGACACTCCCTGCTGTTCAAAGGCAAAGTGGCACAATACACACACAAAATACATGGTATTGCTGCTAACTTTGTGTTCTGTGTCTATCCTTTAGCCTAAATCAATTAGTTTGTTACTGTCTGTTCCACACAGTTTGTCTTACTAGCTTTTCATTTTAGTTTTCTTAAAAGAAACTAAACTTTTACCCAGTGTTTAAATCCTTTTCTGTTGTGCAGGTATCTTATTTTTATAGTAGTTTAATAGAAATATGATTTAGGAAATACAACTCTGTCACACTGCTGTAGTTTCATTTAATGTTTTTTAAGTATATATTTATTTAACAGGTATCCTTTTTATCAGCTTTAAAAAAAAGAAAAAAGAAAATTATTGGGTTTTTCCCCCTCATTTAGCACTCAAAACCTAGTTTTGCTCCTAGCTGAATCAGTTTTCTGTTCTAATTTAACTTCTGGTGCATGGGAACCTTATTCTTCTATTAGACAACCACTTCAAAGGTTGTCACAGTAATTTTGTGTGTTTTGGTGCAATAAAACTTTTGCTTCTTTAACAGGTATTCATTATGTGGATTCCAGTTCTATTTCTTTAAAGTTATATATATTGTAAGGCATGTTTCTGAGTAACAGGATTTTTTTTTTTTTTGGTGTGTTTATAGGAATCTTTGCCTTTAAGTGTGCCCGGGCAGAAGAGCTGTTTAACATGTTACAAGAGATAATGCAGAATAATAGCATAAATGTGGTAGAAGAACCAGTAGTAGAAAGGAATAATCATCAAACTGATTTGGAAGTACCAAGAACCCCTCGAACACCTACCAGTAAGGATGGTTCTACTGTCAGATGACATACCTGAATGTAATGTGGTACTTAGCTGAAAACGGCATTTGATATGAATTTAATCTTTAAGTAATTAAAAGGAAAGCTAATTTAAAGCTAAGAGGCTAATTACCAGTAGTGCATTCTCTTGAGGTAATTGCTGAGGATTATCTTCAAGAAAAAAGTTTTGGGAACTTAGTTGTTGCATAAGAAGACTTACAAATATGCTTATTGAATTTCATTATGATGTATTACCATGCTTTACCTGTAGCATTTTGGAGAAATGTTAGTTTAGGGCAATGTTTCAAACTTTTTATTAGGGGAAAATAATACTGTTTAAATCACACGTGCAGTTGGTTTGGAATATGTTTCTTTTACTCTGAGTAGATGAATGGGTGAGTGAAGTATTTACCTAAGATTTTATGGTATTTTTGAAATCTCAGGCAGATGACTTGGTATTTGAAACTAGGAATTCCAGTTTATTGATGATTTCAGAGAAATGGAAGCTTATGTAAGGAGTCTCTGTTTGTCAGGGAGAGAGCAAAATGTTAATGGGGGAAAGAGAAGTTGGAGGGAGTTCACTGGGTGTGTAATACACCTAGCTTTCAGTGGTTGCTTCAGAAATGTGTTCTAGTATATACTGGGATGCTGTTCTGTTTTCCATTTCCTTCCTGCAAGCAAATTTGAGCTTTGTGAATATTTAGTATTGTTTTACATATTTTACTTTCACTTTTGAAAATTAGACTTTATATCTAAAGTATCTTATTCATATACAGTAAAATGTTCAATTTTAATATGGTTTTGGTTATTTTCTAATTGAATCAGCTCCTGGGTTCAATGCACAAAGTTTACCCAATGGCTATCCCAGATACCCATCTTTTGGAGATGCTTCATCACACCCTTCCAGCAGACATCCTTCTGTCGGCAGCGCACGCCTCCCCTCTGTCGGTGAAGAATCAACACATCCTTTACTTGTAGCAGAGGAGCAAGTGGGTGCTTTTCTCCCTTTGTTCAACTTAGCCTCTACATCACTTCAGATTTTTCTGATGACTGTTCTGTAGGCTGTCACTTGCATTTTTCAGCATCAGGTGTAATGTATTCCTACAGTATTTTAACTACCTCAGAAAAGTGTTTGACTAGCCTCTTTAAAATGATACTTCATAGAAAGGCTTGCTGAGGAATTAATATTTAATAAAAAAGTAAAGATACAGAAAGTATGTGTTTGCGTTATACTCTTCAAAAATTTCAGTAATTATTTTTAAACATGAGTAATTGTACATTGTAATGAGAGATCCTGGTCAAAAAGCTTCTTTATATGTAAGTCTTCTATTTGTCAAATAGAATTAATGGAATAATTTAGGTTAGAAGGGACCTCCAGTCATCTAGGTCTAAGTTTTAAGTTGGAGACAGCTGCACAGAGCCTTGTCCTGGTCATGTTTTGAATACTACAGGTAAAGGAATTCCACAGAATCTCAGCCATGTGTTCCAGTGTTTAATCACTTTTGCTGTGAAATCATTTTTTAATATGTTATCAGATTTTTGCCTGTTACATCTGGTGTTGGCTGTCCCTTGGCCGTTTGCTGAACATCCCCAAAAAGGGTCTGGCTCTGTCTTTGCTTTATCTGTTAGGTAGTTGAAAACAGCTATTAGGTGGTTCCCTGCCTTGTCTTAAAATGGGATTAAGATGATGTCCTCATTTTCTTCTTGTATGTCATGTGCTCCAGCTCCTCTCTAGTCATGGCCCCCCACTGGACTTACCTCAGTATGGTTCTGTCTGTCTTGTACTCTGGAGCTCAGGTTTAGTCTTGTGAGTCTCCTTTACTTACTGGCTGTGCTATTGCTAACACAGACCAGTGCATGTTTGGTTTTCATTGCTGCAAGAGCAGACTGCTGACTCAAATTCAACTTACCATCCACCTGGACCTCTGAAGTTTTGCTGCAAGGTTGTTTTCAAGCAGTTGGTATCTAGCCTTGGTGTTATTTCATACTAAGCACTGGATTTTGTATTTGCTGTTGCTGAACTTCATAAGGTTTCTATGAGGTCAGTTCTCCAGACTGCTGAGATCCCTCTCCCTGGAAACCCTACTAGTCTGGATAGACTGTAAACTGTTAGGATATGTACTCGCTCATCATTGAGGTTGCTGATGAAAATGACAGTCAAGTTTAAGAATGTCATGTGGTTTAGGAAGACTTTCATGTGTGACAAGAAACAGTGCTGGAAACCAGAGAAGGTAGCCAGAGCAGAGTGCTGTGAGCTGTCTTGTGGGAAAGGATTTTTTAGGAGCCCTCGCAGAAGAGCTCAGGTGTTACTGTTGGAGTTACTGACTAGTAAGTGAGTTTGAAAAATCAGTGGAGGAGTCAAGTGAGCTGGTAAATGACACTTCAGCTTGCAGAGCTTGACAGAAAGGTTGGCAAGCTACATGACTGTGCTGTAAAATACTACTTTTGCTGTTTGGGTATCCAGATATAGAATTAAAATTTAGAGAAGGAATCCAGTCTCTCCCATTCAGCCTTGTATTGATTCATTGTGGAAATTGAAGGGATATAACCTAGAAGTGTATTTCTGCCTTTCTTAGTGACATGTGGTGCCAATTCCTGCTTCTTTTTAAATCTGAGTGCCACACTTCATATGGAATTGTGTACTTTTTTACTTGAGTTCCTGTTCTTAGGAGGCTGTTGGTTCTTGAAAAAAGAATGGATAGCTCTTCCTGTAGGCCCAACCTCTCTTTTTGTTCCTGGAGTAGTGCACAAGGCAAGAGAACAAGGGTTTTCTTATGCCTCTCTGTGGTTTACTTTTTGGTTGGGGTTTTCTTTTTTCCTTGTGTGGACAGTAGATTTCCTTGCACTGTGGAAGTTATGAACATAAACTTAGCCAAAGTAATTGCTGGTCACTGGTAAGGGACAACAAAGTAGAGCTCTCAGTGATCTACCCAGGTGAAGTAACAAGCTAAGTTAGAGCAGCCCAAGGTAGCCTTGATTACAGCCAATCTCTAGAACTAGAGCACAACTGAGATAAAACATCAGATAAAAATAATTATCAGCATAAGATATGAATTCTGTTTTTCTGTTAGAGGAACATTAACATAACTAATAACAAAAATTCAGGGAAAAAAACTAAAGCTGACTACAGTTCAGCAAAATGCAAGAGAGGTGGCTTTTGCTCTTAAACACCTGCCATCACAAGTTTATATTTTGATTAGAAAAGTGGGGAGCTAAGAAGCTAATAAATTTGGAGGGGGGGAGAAGGCATAGTGTTTGAATTTCTTCTTTTTTCTTTCCCTTTTAGGTGCACACTTACGTAAACACTACTGGAGTACAAGAGGAAAGAAAAAATCGATCAAGTGTGCATGTGCCACTGGAATCAAAGCTTTCTAACACTGAAACAACTAAAGTGAAAGAAGAGCAGATGTGTACTGATGACAGAGATGCTCAGGTTCTCCTGGAGCCTGAAGGAGTGAAGTTTGTTTTAGGACCAACACCTGTGCAAAGGCAGTTAATGGAAAGAGAGAAACTGGAACAACTTGGGAGAGATCAAGTTAGTGGCAGCAGCACAAACAACACTGAATGGGACACTGGGTACGACAGTGATGAACGTAGAGAGACACCATCTGGTAACAAATTGGTGTATGAAAATATAAATAGGTTATCAATCCCTAGTGCCTCAGGGGTCAGGAGAGGTCGCTTGACATCAACCAGTACCTCAGACACCCAGAACATTAACAACTCTGCTCAGAGAAGAACTGCGCTGCTGAACTACGAGAACTTGCCATCCTTGCCTCCTGTTTGGGAAGCCCGCAAGCTGAGCAGAGATGAAGATGACAGTTTAGGACCAAAGACCCCGTCTCTGAATGGCTACCACAATAACCTAGATCTGATGCATAACTATGTCAATACAGAGAATGTAACAGTACCAGCAAGTGCTCATAAAGTAGAATTTACACGACGTCGGGACTGTACCCCAACAGTCTTTAACTTTGACATTAGGCGTCCAAGTTTAGAACACAGGCAGCTCAACTATATACAGGTTGACTTGGAAGGTGGTAGTGACTCTGACAACCCTCAGACTCCAAAAACCCCCACCACTCCACTTCCGCAAACTCCAACCAGGCGCACAGAGCTGTATGCTGTGATAGACATTGAAAGAACTGCTGCTATGTCAAGCTTGCAAAAAGCACTGCCCCGAGATGATGGTACTTCTAGGAAAACTAGACATAACAGTACTGATCTGCCTATGTGAGCCTGGGGAGCATTGAATCATTTGCACCTTTTGTGAAGTTTATAAAATTGAAGATGCGAGTACTTTGCATTTCTTAACACTAACGCCTTTTATAGACTAACAGAACTTTTTCTGCATACTTCATGTACTTGTCTTACTAAAGGGAATTAATGTAGAGCAAGTATTCATTTTAGGTAACACTATTTCATTCTACAGTAGAAGTAATTACTGCATAGCAGCATCACCACCTTTCACAGTGCCTCTTTAATTGATTAGAGTCTGAGTGACATGTCAGTTATGAATTTATAAATATTCTGGTCTGGTGCCTATACTCATTAATGGCATTTATAACACTTTTTGAAGCCTCTTGATATGTGCATTATTAGCAGGTAAACCTAATCTTTCAATATACATACCTGACATTCATTCCTCGTTGAAGTGGTTCCTCCAGAATTAAATGTGTGTAATGCATTAATTCACTCAGTTTGACATACACAAGATATATTGGTTCATCTCAAGGAATATAAACACCACACCTTTTTTGTCTGCGCGCAAGAAGGCCTCTAATTCCTGACAGTTTTCTTGACGCATTGATGGTTGTTGATCAGAACTATAAACACATCAAAAAACAGCTTTAAGCTCCTTCCGTTAAAATAGAATTCCGAGTGACATATCAAATTCCCTCTGAAATCTGACAAAATTTAAATCTCATCAAAGTTTTGGGGTTTTTTGTGAAGGAATTCACAGGTGGGCTGTTTGAATTAAGGCTCTCTTGTCATTTCTTAGTTCAGTGTGCCTTCTTTTCTTTGCATTTGTGTGTTTCCTTTTTATTTGTTCCATAATGTCTTGTTTTAAAAGTCAAAATAATGTACATAGCTTTAATTGTTCAGGGTCATCTATGTATTTGTCTTACTCTCTGCATTTGACAAAGCAAGACTCTTGAAGGTCAAATGGTTGTCTTCGTCCAGTGTTCTACTTTTTTATGCCTGACAGAAATATTCCAGCTCTCCAGCAGCATGCATTATTGCACAACTGGAAAGGTTTATTATGCAGTTATTGTCTTCCTCTAAAGCATCAAACACAGGTTACACGGGAGGCAGGGTACTGGACTTGATAGTTCTTTATAGAAAGTTGTACGTTCTAGCAATGTGCATCCATAGGTGATAGTGTACTTTAATTTAAAAAGATATGTAGTAAATTATCTGAAGGTAGTATTATCTATGAGCATACTTGTTTTCCTTTTGCAGTTGGTGAATTTGGTTACAGTGATGGCTGCTCAGTGTTACAGGTACATCCAGGTAGAATGTTGTTTGTTGAATATGCCGGAGGCACCCTTAGAAATTGTTGTTTTTCTATTTTGTTTATTAATACTCTGAATAATGTTAGAATTCTGGCAGTATTGCAGGTGCACCTTGGTACTAGCAGCAGAAGAGATTGCTCTTGAGCCTGTGATTGCAAAGGAACTGACACTTGTGTGAACTGGTGTGATGTAAAATAACCCTTGAACTGTGAGGAAAAACATGCAAGAAAAGCCATTTGGAGATCTGAAAAAGCATTAAGGGTCTCCATGCAATATTTGAATTGAAGTTTTATAGAAACCAAACTGCAACTATTTTCTGTCTTTTAAATTGGTGTGTATTTCTGTTCCTACAACTTTTTTCTTTGGTCTTCTCTCATTTAGTAGTGGCAGCAGTAGTAGCACCTGAAATATATGTCTCTTGCTGTACTATTAGGTGGTAGCAGGCCACCTTTTCACTCTGGCTTTCATTATTCTTTACAGACTGTATGGTACTGAAATACCAGATGGACAAAGAACATAATTTGCTGAAATGGGAGTCATTGAGACCATTGTGAGGAACTTAAAAGAGATATTTAAAAGAAACAAACCTTATTAATTATTTCATGGTCAGCCTCTGCATACTCTTGGACAGACTCGCTGACTTTTGAGGAGACCTTGGTACTCAAGAAGGCAAAGACTACCTAGAACTAGGCATTTTAAAGGTTACAGCCAGGTGGGAATTGTTCTCTTCTCCCAGTCAGCCAGGAACAGGACAAGAGGACATAGGCTTAAGCTGTGCCAGGTGGATGTTAGCAAGAAATTCTTCACAGAAGGGCTGATTAGACATTGGAATGGGCTGCCCAGGGAGGTGGTAGAGTCACTGTCCCTGGAGATGTTCAAGGAAAGACTGGACATGGCAGTTGGTGCTGTGGTCTGGTTGACAAGGTGGTGTTCGATCATAGGTTGGCTTCAGTGATCTCAGAGGTCTTTTACAAGTCTCCTGATTCTATGATTCTGTAACTGCTCCCTCACATCTTTGCCGTTGCCTCACCTTATGGACCTCCTGGTCCGTACTGAAGAGAAATTGCCATGTATTGCAAAATACTTACTGGATTAATAATATTGGTGTGATTCTTGTTCTTAGCATGTAGCTCACTTAAATTTGTGAGCTGAACTAATGCTTCAGCATGTGTTTTGAGGCAAACCTGTTTTGATCTAGCTAGCTGCTTGGAAATATATGGTCCTCATCTGTATAGTTTGGACTAATTAACTGGACCCGTAAAACACACCTGTGAGGCAGGGAAGTAATAATATTGTTAACTACTAAATAGGGAAGCAGAGGCTTTGGCTAGATCATAAGTGACCTGCTGAAATTTCAACAACCAGCCATATCCCTCCTTAGTTCTGGTACTCTCTTATGGATTTATTCTGAATAGTCTCAGATAAAAAGAATGGTCTGAGAAAATTTTTTTACATTGTTGCAAGTTTCACAATGTTTTCTTAGCTCTGGTCCCCAGAATTGAGAACATACTGAAATTTCAACTGTCTGTAGCCTTAATTATATTAACAAGTCTGATGACATATTTTCCAGGACTACTTTTTTAACCTGTTACATTTTACAAGTGGGATAATGCTTTCTCGTTTTGTGTACGCTACAAACATACTGGGTAGTCCCTGTCAGCCACACTACTCATTTTTAGCATTCCTTATTTTCTACCCCTTGAAGTAGATACAGTTGCAATGCACTTTACCCTTTGAGACTTGGTAAATATTTTTTCAATTCAGTCTCTTTTAAAGGCTGTGATGTTAGATTTAGTGTCTGTAATCTAGGATTCAGTTTTCAGCTGAAATCTCTCCATGGTATTTAGATCATATTTATTTTGGGCCCACAGGTGTATAGACTGAGAAATTAGAAATATGTAACCATTTTCTTTAGTAAATGTGGCATGTTAAGTTTACATAAACTAGGTCCTGTAAAAATGGTAGCATCTCCATCAGTTCTACTTTTCATCCATAACGTGCATAAGTGCAGTCGGTTGCTGCCCTTCAAACACATTTGACAAGGGGAAACCTCTAACTTTAGGTATTCCTTTAGTGCAATGATTTGGGAAAGACATACATTACTGTATTTTTTAAACAAGGAAACTGAGTTGTTCGAGAACACAAAAAAGTGACCAAAAGTACATCATAAAGACTGTGCTAGAAAGTGAGAATTTATTCCATTGTTATATCAGGAAAATAATATTTTCCTCAGAAGGAGGACCAATTGTTTTAACTTTTGTGGTGGTTTTTTTGCTGACTTCCTAAAACAATATTGAAAAAGACCATTCTGAAAACCTTGACACTCATTAGAACATATTTTGTTTCCCCCAGTGTTTTGCATTTGACAGGGGTTGAATCTGATGATGTGCATTGAAGCACTATTCCTATAAAAGTCTTCAGAGCTTTTACAGAAAATAAAAGTGTTGAAGTAGAAATTTCCTATAATAAATTGATAAAATGTCCTTCCCCCCCTACCCCCTGATGTTTGATTATTTGTCTGTGTTTGCACCTCTGATTATGGCTTGGGTGTAAAAAGAATCATGGAAACGTGTAAACTGTATGAAGTCCAAACCATTGTTGAAACAGGACTGCTTTTTATAGGTGACAAACCAGCAGTTGATTTTGCTGGTTTTATAACACTGTATTGGCTCAAAATCTGGCTGTTCTTGTTTTTGTTTTATATTTAACCACTTCTCAATGAGAGAGATTCAGGAGAGAGCAGATTGTTCTTATTCATTGTCAGTGAAGTAAAAACAAAATACTGATTAATGTCAGTAACTATTTTAAGCATATAATGATATATCTGATTTGGACATCTATTTCTAAGCAGTATTCCTTGCTTCATGTAAAGTGAGATCAATGGTGAAATTCCATTTCTGCACTGTACTAATTTATTTAATGGCTGCAAATAAGATGAAACTAATGGAGTAGGAACTAGTAGTGGACTTCAATCTGAAATTCTCCTATTTCCCCTAAAGGAGTCTGGTCCTTCATTGTGATAGATAGAGTTAGGTATTTTTGGAATTTAATTATATGATCTTTCCCATCTCTTCCTTGAGGTAGCAATTCAGGCATTTATATTTGACAGTATTTACTTAATATAAACCTAAGTTCATTTATTATATCTTTATTTTTACTTCATATACACTCCAAGAAAAAAAAATCCAGAAGAAATTCCACCACAAAAAACTGCGTTAAGATGGAGTCAGGTTTGCTGATGTCCTTCTTACGGAAGATTATGAAAAAGAAAGTCACGTTGAGGTTCTTTCACTATCTTTAGGAATTACTTCCTCTTTCAGACAAGATAAGTGAATCAGAAGAAAAAAATAAAGAGCAACTTAGCATCTGCAACTCTGACCACATATACATTATTTCTTGTGCTGTGCTGTAAGGTATGTGACTAAGTCTGTCAGATGTCTTATGAGGATGTTTTCCTAACACGGTGTTTACTCCAGATTAACGCAGTATTTTGTTTGGAAGAATATGTAGGTGTACAGTTAGAAATAGAATATGAGAAATAAGGTTGATGAAACAAGTGTTGGACATTTCTATATTTTTATACATTATGAAGGGCATTTTTAAAATTTTTCTTGCCATTTTAGTAATTATTTAGTGTGGTAATATACATATATTGTGACAATGTTTTCTGCTATATCCATTACTTTGGTGTAATTCTATTTTGTGTAGCAAATATGTGTATATAGAAAGGAGATTATGTAAAAACAATGATTAAAAAATAGGCTCAAGCCCTTCAGAACAGGGACCATCTTCCTCTGTGTCTGCAAAGTACTAAATGCCTTGGGGTTCCAGCCAGAGCTCCTGTCTGAGACCTGTAGTGACTGAATTGCCAAGTGAGGAGTGTGGGGGAAGCAGCTTCTCTGCTTCCCATGAGAAGTCTTAGTATAAAAGGTGCTGTGAAGCTCACCCTGCCAATCCCCAGTGCTGGGGCTGTGCTGTGTACGGCTGCTCCCAGTGCCACCTGCCAAGCGACCCAAAGAGCCCAGAGTCCACGGATCCCTGGCTTAGGTCCTTCCCTTTGGCAGTAGGAAAGGAAGTCTGACAAGGAGCTTTAATGTCATCAGGAAACCTTCCTTGTTAGCAGGGTGACCCTTCCAGAGCTTGTTTGGTGTGCATGCAGTGTCCTTTGAAGCCGAACAAATGATTCCTGTTGACTTCAAGGGCCACTGGATGTGCTCCTCCAAGATCAAGTTCTGCTGATGTAACAGTTCTGTTACACCTGAGGACCTGGTTGGTCAAGTTCTTCAGGAATGGTCTAAAAATATGTAAAAATATAAATATAATTAATTAAATGTACTGAAAACCAAATCCTATTTGTTGTGGTCAGAGTTCAGATAACTATGGGAATTTTGATTTCTTAATCATTACTTGCATATATGTTGCTTTAACTTTTGTGTATGAAAGAGGAAGTGATTCTAAAATGTGTGAAAAGGTCAGGATTACACCTGTATTTTAATGGTCATGTTATATAGGAATGGATGTCAGTGGATTTAACTCCATAATAATGCAGTTTTTTTGCATTGGAATATGTGTGTATATCATACACCCACATTTTATATATAATATATTATATATTTGGTACTAACTTTGTATTTTGAAATTTTGCCAAATCGTGAACACAGATGTTCTCACTCGTAAGACTTTGGTACTTAATAACTGAATGTATAAGAAATGCTCTGGTATGAGAGGAAAGAGTGTTGTATGGTGTCCCACAGTCCAGATGGCTCGACCAGCAGGCACGTTGCCTTTTTCACGTCTCGCTTCATTGCAGCATCACCTTTGGTCTCCTGGAAAGCAGCCTGTGTCCCAGCCAAACCGCAGGCCAGCTGCGCACCGCGCTAGCGTCAAAGCTGACTGGTAGTAGTGATACAGTAGTCACCAGTGTGCCACAAATGCATTTATTGAATGCAGAAATAGACATTTCTACAAAGGCCAAAATCTTGTGTTGTATGTTCCTTTCTTGTCATTACATTGTATCATATTGTAAGATTATTGTATGTCCTAATTTGCATTATAAAATGTTTTTTCCTACTTAAAGGCATAAATATAGCAACTTTGTATAAAGGTAGCTTTCTAGATTTTTATTTCTTTTATATAAAAAGTCTAAACAGTGGGAGTACCATTGCCAAATTGTTTATGAAATTTCAAGTAATTTTCCCTGTTCAATTAATTTGTTTTTACAAACATTCCGTATTTCTTATACTATGCAGAAAGAGTGTATTTTTATGCCATTCCATGTTAATCTTAAAATAATTTCACTTCTTTTAAGC